AGCTTAAGAGTCCTTGGTAACTGAAAATTTACATTCTTTGTGCCTTTAATCAACGTTTTTCAGAAAAATCCACACAGAAATGAGTTCTTTAATGGGCATGAAAGGTGTTGAGTAAAAAAACAAAAACTTGATAAAAATTCACAAACCTGCGGAAAAATGCAAGTTTCTTCCCTTTGATTATTTTGACGAGAGCCTGATTCCACCACGCTGCCTCACATATAGAGTTTTAGCAGTGCTGGTGTCAGGCGTAAAGTGACCACGTTGAAGTTTATCCATATATTATATTTTCCTTTAATCATGTCAGATCAGAGAAAGTGTATTTGTGTAATGCGGCCCCCGAAATGTGCTGGTGCATGCTTGCAAGAGTAGCGAATTAATCTGAATCTTAAAAATAAAAAAAATAAAAAAATAAAAAAATAGACTATGATAAACTCAAAGAAGACAGCGTGGGTGTTTCGTTAACTCAGTTGTCATGAGGCTGGACTAAGGAGCGGATGGTCCTGTCTAGAACCCTGGCTAGGTGCTTTTGAACTTGCTTATGTCGCTTTGTGGACTTGGTAAGACTCTCTACTCATTTTGCTCCGTCCTGATGGAGGTCCCACCTCCTAAACGACCTAATATAGTCAAAGAAGACACCGTCTGTGACTGGGTATATTGGCAGCTTGCGCCCACCATTGTTCCTCTGGGTTTTTCAGGACGTCATTTTTCGCTTTTAAGCAAAAGGGGGCTATCCCGAAAAATGCTGTTTTGAGAACGTCGACGATAAAGTTTTTGCCCCTTGTTCAGTTTCTTTAATATACAAGGAGAGTTTTCTCTATTACCAAACAAAATACACATCAATGAAACCAAACGTCTCCTACAGGTAGGGCAATGCCCACTTTTGGTGTAGGTCAAGATTGCTGGAACCCCCCGAAGTCTGGGTTAGCCCGCTTGTCCCTAAAAGCGACCTTGTATACAGTGGAAATGGACTAAGACGGCCCTTCGTTGTCGAGGAGAGAAGTGTTCGTACAGTGTGTCATTACACCTTGTCATTATAAGGTTTTTAAAAAACCTACAAGAAGGGGGGCGGGGCGGCCTTTTGTACAAGTGAGTTCGTTTACAAGTGGTAAGGTGGTTGTGGTAGATCCAGGTTCGACTGTAATACATGTATGACTTTGTAAAGTAAAGTTGTTCCCGCATCCGATCCGGGCATTGGGGACTGCCTTGTTAGCGAGACAACTTCCTGGGCCTTCGGCATATTGTGGTGGGGTGGCCAGTTCCTTGCTTTCCACGCCGCCTTTACTTCCCCAACTCTAAGTCAGGTACCCATTACTGCTAGGTGGGCAGGAGGGGGCGAAAAAAACCCG